GAACTGGGGATTGAACTCTGGCCCTTGCACTTGCCAGGCAAGTGCTTATTCTACTGAGCCATCTCCCCGGCCCCTGCGCCTTTCTTATGGCCCGTTAGGATTACTGTCTGTGACCTCACTCCTGATACCTGAGGATTACAAAACTTTATCAAGACAGAGCCCAGAAGCCTGTTCCATTCTGTTTGATGTTGCTGAAAAAAGCCCACACTCCTGAATTGTGAGTTATAACTCGATCAAAATTCTTGTGGATCCTAATTGGCCACCAATTTCCCTGGAAAGGGATTCTGTATACCAGTGATCCTTAACTGTAACTTTGTAAGGTGTAGAGAAGCAGATTTGGAGCCACTATATATTTGTTTTTGGGTTTTTTTGAGACAGGATCTCAGTATGCAGTTCTGGCCACTTTGTGCTCATTTTTGTAGCCCCCAGGCTGGTCTCAAATTCCAACAATTCTTCTGTCTCAACCTCCTGAGTGCTAGGATTACAAGCATGCACCACCACGCCCGGTTCTGGGGTTGCCACAGTGCACCTGGGGGATCCAGGGGCCACAGCATGCTTGGGTTCCAGGGCTGGCATGGCGTGCAGGGCTGAGGATTGAACTCGGGTTCTTGCGCTTGTCAGGTAGGTGCTTATGTCTCTGAGCTATCTCCCTAGCCCACCACTGTATATTTATACATTTGGAAAATGGGAATATTTGAAATGGATGATGGGAAATTTGCTTATCAATACATATTAATTTGTCTACCAGGAAGGTGTATGAGTTAAAAACACCAGTATATTCTGCTAAGTACAGGTGTTCCATTGCAGGCATACACACGAGAGATAAACCCTCCCATCCATCAGTAAAGTGGTACCAAGATAAGTTCTCTATGAGGAGTACGTCTCAATGTAGGCAGGGGGAGAGAGAACATGAAATGTGAAGCCACAGCTGCACCCTGTCAAGGAAGCCCATGACACCCTGGAGTGGGGGAGAAGCCCACCGACAGGCTTTTTATTTCTGCTGCCCTCAACCCAAAACAAATATTTCCCCCATTTATCATAGACTTTAAAAGAACTTGACATTAAATTTGCCCCCCTAGTATCTCTTTTTTGCTGTGCTGCACATCAAACCCAGGCCTTGTACATGCTACGCAAGTGCTGCGCCACTAAGATACACCCCAGCCTTCTTTTTCTTTTAATAAATAGATGCTGTTAGGGCTGGGGAGATGGCTTATTGCGCTTCCCTGGCAAGTGCAAGGGCCTGAGTTCAATCCCTGGTTCCGCCAAAAAAAAAATTAAAAAAATAAATAAATAAAAATAAATAAATAGATACTGTTTCATTTGTTACTAATACTTGAGATATATTTAAGTATGTATATTTTTGCCCTAAACCTTCCTTCCATGTTTCATTTTCTGCTTTTTGTTATATTGAAAAGTTTCTGGGTTTTCTTTTCTCCTGTCCTCCCATCCCATTTCAGTAATTTGGTAGAGTTTTGACTCCTGTCATAGCTACCATTGTTGAGGGGAATATTGGGGATTGGTTAACACATGCTGCACTATGAGCTTATTATCAGCCCTTCGTATTTCTTTATTTATTTACTTATTTATATGGGTCCTGCTATGTTGCCCATACTGGACTCAAATTTCTGGGCTCAAAGGATCCTCTTGTCTCAGCCTCCTGAGCAGGTGAGGCTGCAGGCACATGCGACTAAGCATCATTTTTCATAGTTATTTTTTAAACTTTATTTAATATATATCTATTTTTTTATTTATCTGCTTGAAAAATGACATAGAGGGGCTGGGGAGATGGCTCAGTGGAATAAGTGCTTCCCTGGCAAGCACAAGGGCCTGAGTTCAATTCCCGGTTCTGCCAAAAAAAAAAAAAAGAAAAACGACATAGAACTCACTGTCTCTTACATAAAATAGTGATATTAGCTCCTTTCTCCTGCTTTTGCCCCTTCACATCTACTTCTTTCAGCCTCTTAGTTTTAGTTAATAAAAAGAATTACTAACAATTCTGGAGTACATGGCATGCACCGGGCTCATTTCTTATTCTTGATATGGGTGGTTTTAGCTGGGGAGGTAGCTCAGTAGTCTAAGCGCCCACCTGGCTAAGCATAAGGACCCGCGTTTGATCCCTGGTACTACATGCTGTGCTGGCCCTGGAACTGTGGGCACTGCGCCAGCCACCAAAATCGGGTGTGGTGGCACATGCCTGTAATCCCAGAGTCGGGGAGGCTGGGACAGGAGGATCACTACAAGTCAGAGCTGTGTAGCAAGATCCTGTACCAAATAAATACATAAATAAATAAATGATTTAAAAAAATAAAAAAGACATAGGTGTCCTTATTTTATTCTCCTAACAGAACTATGAAGTAAGTATTGTCATTCTCACTTATGGAGGAGGAAACTGGGGGCCAGAGGTGTCAGCTAGGAGGCGTGGCGTCGTGGCAAGTTCTCTGAGCAAGGATCTGACAGGGCAGAATTTCTACTTCAGAGACAATGATGCTCCAGAGTCCTAAATCCGATTAGGACTGGTGCTGGGAGCATTCAGCATGAGTCAGGAGTCTGGGTGGATGAGCAGGGAATTAAGTGTTCATTTTCATGCTGGAGTGGAGCGAAGGCAGCTGGCGCAAAGCCTGCAGGAGGCCCAGGCGCACCTTTCCCACGGACGTTTCCACTTTATAGCCCTGATTCCTACCATGACCAAGGGACCAACCACTCTCCAAGGTGCTGGGACAGATCTGTATTATCCAGAGTGCCCAGAGGTCACAGTCAGGGGTTGGGTGGAGCTCTGCCAGGCTCGTCACTGGACATTCAGGACACTTCCTTAAACAACCAGAAAGTCCCACAGTCACCAAGGACACTGCCCTAAATGACTATAATTACAAATTAGCCAGCCAGTCTTTACTTTCCTTTTGATGGGGGATAACCAGAGAAAGTCTGCTTTAAGGATACACTCTGGGGGCCCGGGGAGATAGCTCAGTAGAAGAAGCGCT